CGAAGTCAGATGCTTCACCGACTGAGCCACCCAGCACCCCACAGAGCGGGAATTTAATGAAGCTGATAAGGTAGCTGCTTGTGGGGAGGAAGGTTTTGGAAATGAGAGTTGGTTCCCTTAGGCTCTAGAGGCAAGCGGTAGTGGAGTAATTAAAAGCATAGACTCTGGAGTCAGACCTGGGTTCAAATCCTTGCTCTGCTGTTTACTAACTTTGGCGCCAAGTCACATAACCTCTCTGAGCCTGGGTTTCCTCATCCGCAAGGTAGGGAAAATCTTAAGTTCTTTATTGGATTGTTGTAAAGATTGGATGAGACAACACACACAAAAGCACTCAAAGAACAGATTGGTGGTTGCCAGGAGTGGGGGGGTGGGCAAAATGGGTGAAGGGGGGGTCAAAAGGTACAAACTTCCATTTATAAAATAGATAAGTCCTAGGGATGTAATGTACAGTATGGTAACTATAATTAATAATGCTGTATTGTACATTTGAAAGTTGCTGAGAGAGTAGACCTTAAAAGTTCTCATCACAAGAAAAAAAGAACTTGTAGCTATGTGTGGTGATGGATGTCAGCTAGACCTCTTGTGGTGATCAGTTCACAATCTATACAAATGTTGGATCATTGTGTTGCATACCTGAAACTAACAAAATGTTACATGTCAAATCTCTCTCTGTATATTTATATATAAATAATATCTTCATAGTAATAAATATAGAAAATAAATAATTGATTAGTTATATTTACATATTTATAAAACCAATAAATTGTTCATCTGCTTGACCCTGAAAAAAAACCACTTAAAGCAGTGCTTTGCACAAAGAACTATACATCTTAGCCACTAAAAAAAACCCCACAGGGACGCCTGGTGGCTTAGTTGGTTAGGTGTCTGAGTCTTGGTTTTGGCTGGGGTCATGATCTCAGGGTCGTGAGATCAAGCCCTGTCTGGAGCCCCACATGGAGCCCTGAGTCGGGCTCCGAGCTCGGCGGGCAGTCTACCTGAGATTCTCTCCCCTCCCTCTCTCTTTGCTCCTCCCCTGTGCCCTCTCTCTCTCTCAAATAAATACATAAATCTTTAGGAAATAATAAAAAATACCCCTCCCCCCACAACTGTAGGTGTTATGGGATGTGGTGGGTATTAGGCAGGAGGTTTTAGAGGGAAAGGAACTTTATCTTGTTACAACTGGCAGTGGGGTGTATGTGTGGGGTTTCCATGGGCATGGCGAAACCTCCCGGGAGCCTGTAGGAAGTGAAGCTAGAGGAGACTCCCTCATGTTTTTTGAGGCAGAGACTGGAGGAGGAATGACTTGGGAGCCTCCAAAACTCTGGAGCCTTGACTTAGGATGAATCAGGTCCTCAATGTGCACATGGGCATGCCTGGTAACTTTCTTTCTCTTTGTCTAGTGATCTCTTAATGAGGGACAACCTGTTTGAAATCATAACAAGCTCCAGGACCTTCTACATACAGGTAAAAAGCTCACTCTGAGAAGACTCTGGTGTTCTGTCTCTGTGAGTGGTGTGCTAAAAGGTCTCGCCCTTTCCTCTGCTTTCTCTTTTATTTTGTTTAAAGTTTCTAGGTGGTAAATTTAGCCCCCGATTGTCAGTCTGAGTCCCATTTTATTCTAAACAGGATGTTTGCCAGAAGCTTCCCAACCATGAAATAGTGAGAGCAGGTTGAGCCTCTGAACTGGGGAATGCGAGTTTGTACTAGCTGTTTCAGCTGGTGGGCGCCAGCTAAGCAGAGAAAAGGAGAACTAGCCAGGGGTTTCACTTCTCCTTTGGAGGGTATTTATAAGCCCCGCCTGTGTGGACATCTCTGTGTGCGGAAGGACAAAAGCCCAGAGGGCCCTGTGCCGGCACCAGGTGCAAAGCCCAGCTGCACAGAGAAAGTCATTGTTTGGGCTCTGACAGTTCAGCTCTCTGAAGCTTCTCCCTTCACCCACAGCTTTGGAGCTCTCCCAGCTCTTCCTCAAATCATAGGAGCTAGAAAAGCAGATCCCCGAGCAGGGCCTAAACTCTCAGCGCCAAGTCCATACCCGAGCCGGCCTGGCAATCCACGGAACATGCCTCGATCCACACAGCATCATGATAATGCCTCATTTCCGGCATACGGGCTGCCATGCAGTGCGTTGGTTTAGATGTGGGGCTCCCCAGCCGAGGCTTTTCAGGGTTCCCAGTGCCCTTTCTTTGTTCCAGGTGTCAGTCCCCACTAAGTACCATCCCTTCCACAGGGCCCCCCCACCCCATTTCTTGGGCAGCAGCTCCATAATCCTGACCCCTCCGAGCTGGTCCTCCTGCCCCCCCGCCCCCCAGCCGAGCAGACATGCTGGCAGCTTTAACTATCCCTGGGCTCTGCTCATTGACCCAAGCATGTGTCACTGGGGAAGAGAGAGCATAAGGGAGCTGTGGCTAGCATTGCTGGGGTTGTTAGAGCTGGTTCCATTGTCATTTGAGGACAAAGTTTAAGCTGTAGGTTCAAAACAATTTCCAGTCCTTGCATTTAGCAGGCATATGCAGGGTATCCTTAGAATGCCAGGGATTTTGCCTCATACTGGGGACACTGTTAAACAGAACAGATACTGAACCAGAGGGAGAGAGATGTTGTCAAGTAAACAGGCAATTGCAACAGTGTGATGGGGTGGGGGAAGGGAGTATTGGGTAGATGAACGCTGCAGGGGGGTTTAGGGCAGTGAAACTGTATGACACTTTAGTGGCAGATGCATGAAATAGAACTTTATAGCACAAGGTAAAGTAAAGAGTAGAAAACTTTAATATATGTGAATTAAAAAAAAAATCACTTAGGAGGTCAGGTGATTCGAGCACGGCATGCAGATGATGACAAAAGAACCTAAATGCATTATGAGTATGGAACAACCTCACTGAAGGGGCTGAGGGAATAAAAAAAAAAAAAAAGCAAAAACCGAGAAAACCAGTGTGGTTAGTGCTATTGTTACAGTGAGTGGTGGTTGTCATGGGAACCCATAAAAAGGGCACCTTCTCCTGTCTCAGGGAGTCAGGGGAGGTTTCCTGAAGGAAGGCACATCTAAACCGAGTCTGTTGGGGGAAGAGTGGCCCAGGCAGAGGGAACAGCATGTGTGAACAAGCCTGGAGATAAAAGGAGCACAGAGCACATGCGAGACTGGGGCCCCCATACAGAGGGCCCATGCCTTATAGGCCTTGTCAAAGAGCTTGTACTTTATCCTGAAGGTTTGGGCCCCTTGAGGTGGAGCCAGGGGAGTGGTCCAATCAGCTCTGCCTTCTAAAAATACCACCTGGGTAAATGCTCTAACTTTCAAGCCTTGTTTTTGTCATCTGTAAAGTGGAGGTGATATCCCTCAACCTGACCCCGTTACTGGTGTGCTGGCTGTGAGTTTCCAGGCCCAGTGAAGTACAGACACAGATGAGGGAGGGTAAGACAGGAGGCAGGGAGAGCAGTTTGGGGGCTGTCGTCGTAATTCGGGTCAGGGATGAAGGAAGCTTGAACCAGGAAGGATGGAGAGAAGTGGACAATTTAAAAACTACTGAAGAGTATTTTCTGGGACTTGGTTGTGGGTTGGATGTGGGGTGAGGGGAGACGGGGGAGGTGAGGACACTGCTGGGTGTTTGGCCTGGGCCTCAGGGTGCCTGATGGCAGCCGTCACTCAGACCAGAGCACGGGAGGAGGGACTGGTGAGCAGAAAGGCAGCCTTCGTGTTGGGGGTTCTGAGTTGACAGTGTCTGTGGGACATTTGAGTTGACATGTTATGAAGGTCCTCAGAGAGACAGTGCCTGACACATGGGTGGTATGAAATAAGTATTTGTCAAGTGAAAGATTATGCTGGGAAAGAGCTTTGGACGAGAGAGAGTGATTTGGGAAACAAGAACTCCAACAAAAACAATGTTCAAAACACTTTTGAACAAAGCGTGTGCACACTTACCAGAAGCTTCTCATCACTTCTGCCCTCCTTTGACTTCTGCTCCCACATTTCTGGGATAACAGAACACTAGCATCACCCTGAAATAAACAAATGAACGAATGGACAAGTCTGTTAATAGCACCTAACTCAAAGAGAACAGAAGATTGAGAAAAATATGGAGTAAAAATCCTTAAGAATATGTATTAATTTATTGTCAGATAGCAACTAAAAACTCATTTATGTTGACACAAGTAATATTTTATGAAAAACAGGTATATTTCTAAAACAAAAAAAGCAACAAGAGTAGCATTGTTTTTTACATTTCTGCAAATCTCTTTAATGGCTGGCTTACTAGAGGACAGCAGGATTCTCTGTCTGCTCCTGCATTCTATCTGTGGCCATATGTTGTTTTGGTTGAAGGATATGAAGAAAATCTGGCCTCTCACAGATATGTATTTGGAAAAAAGGAATATTTTAATAGCTTTTTCAGATAATTGTGGATATTTTTCTCTGATTCGATATCAAAACTTGACAAGTGATATTTTCTTAATGTTTAGGTGCAGTGTGGTATTTGGAAGCCAATATCAATATCCATAAACTTTCAGTCTTACATGAAAATCTACTGGTCAGTTTTGCACTTTGAATGGATCCTTTTTACCAGTGCATGATTTTGTAACTGTGTGCGCTGGTCATTAGGAAAATAGTGGTCCGACTGAGGTATGGAGACCTTCCAAATGTTGACACATTTTATTATATAATATCAAAAAATCACCTTTGTTAATATCATCACAAGGATCCTCATCAGCAAAGTCGTTAAGTACAGAAAGCTGTCAAGCTTATGGAGGAGGATACCACTTTTTGGAATTCTACTTTTGTTTGCAAGCTCAAAATTCATCATTGGCAAAAAAATACTTTCATGATTTTGCTTGACTAAATGGACTCCTTTCATTCATTTTTGAGAAAGAGTCCACCATATGCCTAAGTCTGAGTAAGTTTGACAGATAGTTTGTCAGTCATTTGTTCCAAGGAAAAATTGTGTCTCATGCAGAAGGTAAAAGCATAGAATGACTCCTCCTACAGTGTGGTGCCAGCAACTTTTGCCACCATGCCTCAGTGGTATTCTGACCTGTTTCCTAGTGTATGTTCAGTAAATCTGCCTGAAAGAACCGCGTATGCTCGGTACCCAGGGAAGCTAGCCCAGAGAGCCGGGCAGCTGGAGGCAGAGCAAACAGGCTCCTGGGACAGGGCACGGAGGCTTGGGCAACAACATGGCGCTGGCTTCCAACTGCTGAGGTGTTGGTCATTTACCTTCTGTCACGCATGCCTTCTATGTCACGCTTCCGTATAATTTGAACCCTGGGATGCTACCGTTTGTTGGACACTCAGTTGTGAGAGGCACGGTGCTAAGGAGTTTACAGGCAGCATATCACTTAACTTCTCAGCAATCTCTTGAGGACATCTCCATTTTACAGATAAGGAAACGGAGTTTCTGAAGGTAAATTATTTGTTCGAGGTCATAAACCCGAATTGTGGAACTGATTAGGAAGGCACCTAATCGGGTGCTAGATCAGGACCTACTCACTTGTGTTGTTTAAAAGCAGCTTGGTACAAAATCAGAGAGGGAGACAAACCGTAAGAGACTCTTAATCATAGGAAACAGACTGAGGGGTGCTGGAGGGGAGGGGGGGTGGGGTACCTGGGTGCTTGACATTAAGGAGGGCACGTGATGGAATGAGCACTGGCTGGGTGTTATATAAGACCGATGAGTCACTGACCTCTACCTCAGAAACCAATAATACATCATATGTTATTAATTGAATTTAAATTGAAAAAAATATATAAAAAAAATAAAAGCAGCTTGGTGCAGAGCCCAAGATGTAGAGGGTGTGGCCATAGATGACCAGGACAGACCAGCTTGGGGGCACTGGCTGTCATGGCAGGTGGATCGTGGTGACCAAGACCCAGGACCTGGCAGTAATCAGGTATCTAAGCTTGGCGAGTTAGCAAACTGATCAGCCTGTAGATGGTTCTCAGTTCTGGGCAAGGGTTCAAGATGAGATTTCAGTCCTTGGAATACAAGGCATGCAGGGTTCACCATTTCTCTATTTCCCAGTCATAGAAGGTCAGGGGTATTATGTTGGAGGATTTAGTTATTCTAGATGACAAATGTAGTGCAGGCTGGTTTGGGTAACTTGGCATAAGCCCAGTTGCCAGAACTAGGGGTCCGTGTCAGGATAAGAATAGTAATAAGAGGGCTCCCATGTGGATTGCGGAGTGCTGGGCTAGAACTCTTTGGATACTTACTGTTTTAATTTAGACTATAGGGTGAATGACATCACTTAGAACTATGTAGTGTACAGCCTAGACAGTTGGATGTGGCCGGGCTGTGTCTAAAAACGGGATTGGGTCCTGGGAAGAGGGCAGGGATTATTAGCTTTTAGGAAGGGGGGCAGCGCAGAGGTGGGGAATAGAATGCAGAAGGAGCATCCTACAAATGTTGGACAGCTGCAGCAGAAGCCACCCCGGGAGGTACTGGAGGCCTGTTACTGATGACCTCTGGAATTCATTGCTTCAAACTGTTGCATTTGTTATGGTACTGGGTTTATTGTAGGTGCTCAGTAAAAAAGCTCATTGGACTACGATAAACCTCAGGCTGCCGTGATTCCTTTTAATATCCTTTGTTCCTCTCACCTCAAAAACTGTTCTCAAGGACAGAAACCCTACTTTTCCTTTCTAACCAAGTGCCAGAAACAAATGCACACACTTAAGCACGCCAGGAAGAGATGAAGGAGCGTGGCAATTCCCCTTTTGTTCTACTGAGTTTTAAGCATCTTTTAGACTTTTCATAATTCATCATGGGGTGCGTGGACTTCAGCTCTGTTTTTTACTTCTGGTTCACCTTTGTGATGGTGTTTTAAGATGTTTTTGGGTTTTTGATGAAAGCTAAGCACAGGCTTTCCATTAAAGATAGACATACACATACGCCATATGTTTGCATACAGTTTTTAAGGTTTCACTGAATTTTTGTTGCCAGTGAATCCAAGTTCTAAAACTACTAATAGAGATTACAGTTGTGATCTCAATAAAGTGATAGTCTCTTTTTTCTCATTCTTATCACAATATTTGCTTTTCTTTTTAAATAATATTTTAATTTATTTTATTTTATATTATTTTTTAAGTAGGCTCCACGCCCAGTGTGGAGCCCAACGCAGGGCTTGAACTCACAACCGTGAGATTGAGACCTGAGCTGAGATCAAGAGTCGGATGCTTAACTGACTGAGCCACCCAGGCACCCCCTGAATAATATTTAAAATAACATTTGTTAAACATTAAAATAATGCTTACTAATGTTTATTACTATCCTCCTGGCTGGATTAACTCTATAGGTTATCTGACAGAAAATGTCCTTAAGCAGGATTAGAGAATTGGGGAAAAAACATAATTAGCAAACAGTTTCCATCTTTATTAATTACTAATTTTTTTTTTTAAAGATTTTATTTATTTGACAGAGAGAGAGACAGCCAGAGAGACAACACAAGCAGGGAGAGCAGGAAAGGGAGAAGCAGGCTTCCTGCAGAGCAGGGATTCTGATGTGGGGCTCGATACGAGGACCACAGGATCATGACCTGAGCCGAAGGCAGATGCTTAACCATTTGAGCCACCCAGGCGCCCCAATTACTAAACGTTTTAAGATAGAGATTTAATTATTTTGCCCATCATGTTCGCAAAGACTTCAAAAATTGTAATACTTAATTCTAGCAAGGGTGCACATAAAAAAATAATATATTGGTGGCAAGTGAAATCTATCTTTTTGGCCAGAAATCTCTCTGGCCAGATGTAACAAGAGCCTTAAAAGAATGCATATTCTTTAGTAATTTTCCCAGGAGCTGAAGAATCATAAGAATGAAAAAAACCTTTGTGCACAAAGGTGTGAATAGCAGCGTTACTTATATGAGAGAGGAATTGGAAACAATTTAAATGTGTTTTAGAGGATTTTGATTCTTTTTTGAATGTATTTTTTTTTTTTAATTCTTATGTTAATCCCCATACATAGAGGATTTTGATTCTTGTGTCTGGCTCCCCAGATGTTAAGTCAGGTGGTGCCTTGTTTTCTCTTCCTCAGTGGCTCCTTGCTAGATGGAGACTGGGGTGAAGACCGCTAGGCTCGTGGGGTGGTGGGTTCCTGGACAGACATATGAGGGCATTGGTGGGGTCTCAAAGGACAGTCAGATAGGTGGCCTGTGGCTTGTGGGACATTTGACGTGGGGGGTGCTGTGTTGTGCTTGGGTGGTGGAGGGGGTACAAGTAGCTTAATAGCCCTGGAAACTGTCGTCATGTGGATTGTGCAGTCTGTTTCATGAAAATCCTGGACCTCCTGCATGATGTGGGAAACATTTGTCTCTCCCTCAGCTCCTGTCTCCATGTCTCCCAATCCTCTGACATTTCTCCCTACCAAATCCTCTGTCTCCCTAGAAGGAAAATCTCTGAGAAATGCTTTTCTACTAGTGGACAATTTAATTACCTCCATCTCACTCAACTCAAAGAAGCCAAATAGGTTATCTTATTTGATCTGGACAATTTGATCCTTAGGGAATTATCTGCAGTTTGAGTATGAGGAAGCAGAAAAAAAGTCTCAGGGAGAGGCCAATTAACATATATGTGTTATATACATAGTGTTGGAATTTAAGGCTTCATTTGTGTCCCTCATGTAATAATAGTAACAGCAATAACTAATACTTTCTGTTCAAAGTGCTTTACCTAAATGAGTTCATTGCATTTTCCCAGTGGCTCTACTTGTGGAACAGGCTAGCCCTGAGATTAGTAAAATAACTTCTGGAAGAATCTTGGACAGCTTATCCTGTTTATCTTCTTGGACTAGGGATGGATTTATCTTTTTCTTGGAAAACCAACCACCAGGTTGTCACACAACTGGGAAAAGCCCAGGGGAGAGAGAATACAAGGAATTTGCAGCTATAGCATGTGAGAGAGGTGTTCACCTCGTTGCTATACCCGCTTAATCCAGTGTGCCAGGATGTGAAACTATTTCTTTTCTTTCTTTTTTTTTTTTAAAGATTACATTTATTTATTTGGGAGAGAGAGCATGAGAGGGAGCAGGAGTGGGGGGGGTGCAGAGGCAGAGGGACAAGCAGACTCCTCGCTGAGCTGGGAGCCCCACATGGGGCTCGATCCCAGGACCCTGAGATCATGACCTGAGCAGAAGGCAGACACCTAACCAACTGAGCCACCCAGGCGCCCCTGAAACCATTTCTTTTCTAAGTGTCTTCTGCACACACCTAACTCATGAGGGTTTGTTTGGGATGACAGAAAGGGGTAGGAGCACCAGTTTGAGGATTTAAAAAAAACTAGTCATGTTTTATTCTGATACAGTGCAACATGAAAGAATCATCGGGGGGATGGGGAAAGTGAGGGGCCTGTGTGGAGAATTTTGCGGGCTGGAGTGTGGCATTTACATATACCTTGCTTAGGAAAAGGTACACACTTGTGATTTTGGGTAGGGCTGTTAGGGGAAGGCACAGGGAGCAGAGAGAGATTAACAAATGGAAATTTCTGGAGGTCAGGGATTTGGTCTTCGTCTCATCTCTGTGCCTGGCATCTGATGCCACGTGTAAGACCGAGGAGGGCCGCAGCAAACATTTGCAAGGTTCACTTGAATGCAACTCCTATAAAGCTGGAAGGCGCTGAGAATTCTGAGGGCTCCACCTGCAGCCGCTTGGCCATTTGATTTTCCTTTCTTCATAGAGCCGCTGCTGCCCCCTTCTGGGGTTGGTAGGTATTTCTGGGGGATATGCTTTTTAATGGCTCAGCAGTGTCCTACACGATGGTAAGCTTGTTGCTCTGAGTCTACCAACTCTCCAGGCCTGGATGGAGTCCGGACAGACCCAGGTCGCTTGTTCTCTGAGGGAAGCCTTGTTCCTGGAGATAATATGTATCTTGGAGGATTTGCGGAGGATTTGGCTTTAGTGGGACTGGAGTTGAAAAAGGGATTATTCTGTTTGGATAGCTGTGGTAGAAAGATGCTTGCATTGGGAGTCAGGAGAACTGGAATCTAGACCAACCATAAATGTTGAGCTTTGGCTCAACATTTTCCTTTTCTGTAAAGGCCGGTTGTGTTCCAGAGAGGGTGAGGGGCTTCAGCAGGAATGGCCTCTGCCCCACTTGGAGCTGTTTTATTTATGGGGTGTCAAATATGAGTTTGCAGGAAACAAATGTCCTCAAAAGTCTGAGAGCCACTGGATGACATGATCTCTGGGCTCCTTCCAGCTCTAATGGTGTGATTTTATAAACTTAGAATTGAACCACAGACTTGCGAGCTGAAATCATAATGCCAAACATTTCTCCCTAAGTGCTAAGGCTGTTTTGCAGGCGGACAGTCCAGAAGATATGCACAGCTGGATTAAGGAGATCGGGGCAGCTGTCCAGGCCCTCAAGTGCCACCCCAGAGTAAGTCACTTCCTTTCTGGTACATGATCACTGTCAGCTTAGAGATGAATTCTCTCTGAGTGGGCAGGTTTTTTTTTTAAGATTTTATTTATTTGACAGAGAGAGAGATAGCGAGAGCAGGAACACAAGCAGGGGGAGTGGGAGAGGGAGAAGCAGGCCTCCTGCCGAGCAGGGAGCCCGATGTGGGACTCAATCCCGACCCTGGGATCATGACCTGAGCCGAAGGCAGACGCTTAATGACTGAGCCACCCAGGCACCCTGAGTGGGCAGGTTTTATTTGGTGATGCAGCCAAGCGCTCTGTCCCTGGAAGCAGCCGAAGCCTCAGGCTGTCTTGTTTGTTTCCTCTTTCTGCTGGTTTAGGTACAAAATTTTATTTTTTGTTTTTTTTTTGGTTGTTGGAAAGAGGTGAGGTATGGGGTTGGGTAAAGAGACAGCTTGCGATGTGTTCTACACGTCTCCCTGTGTTGGCCGACCTTGACACATCTGGAGTGAATTCTGTTGGTCAGACTTGATTTCTGTAGACAAGTGCCTCTGGACCTATGAGGGGGTTATCATGGGTGGGTGTTCTTCCTAGGGCTTTGGGATAAACATTGTCAGGAAAGGCCTTATTTTCCTTTGTTTTTTTCCTTCCCTTTTATTTTTGTAGGATATGTCCTTTTCTAGATCCATCTCTTTGACTCGCTCTGGAAGCTCCGGCCTCTCAGGGGGGCCCAACTCTGTCCTGTGTAGGGGGCGGCCACCTATGGAAGAGAAAAGAGCTCTCTGCAAAGCCCCCTCTGTGGCTTCCTCCTGGCAACCCTGGACCCCCGTCCCACAGGCCGGGGACAAGCTGCTTCCAGCTGAAGAGACTCCTGGGGACTCTTTGTTCATGTCCCGGCTTGGGGAGAGCAGTACTTCTGGGGTGTTGCCCAGCTCCCGGATAAGGCACAGGTCGGAGCCCCAGCACCCCAAGGAGAAACCATTTCTGTTCAGCCTTGATGATGAGAGCATACGGACTTCTGATGTGTGATAGGGCACAGTGCCCTGGGAGGGGGGAGGACTCAAGAAAAGGAGGCCATGACTCAGTTTCCCTACATTTTGGAGGATAGTCAGAGACCCTTTGGCACTCATAGTCCTGTGGATGCTATGTGGGAGGGGCCCATCCAGCTGGCCTGTTTTTTTTTTTTTATATCAATACAGTATATTTAACTTGGAAAATCACTAGGTTGGACCTGTAGGCACGCTCAGTGGAGAACAGGTTGCCTCTACTTTGACTGTTCTAAGGTCTTCCTGGTGAGAGAAGGTTGGGAGTGCAATTTCATCCCTAACCAAATTTTGTTTCCTTGTCCTAGTTGTAGTTTCTTCCTTTACTTTCCAGGCCAGGCACAGAATCTTGGGCCAGTCATCTGGTTTATCCAATTCCTATTTATTGGCTGAGGTCTGACTGTGAAGTAGGAAGGTCGTAACTAACCCAGCTGGCTTGCCTGGGATACATTCTGAGGGGAGGTGTTAAAATCTGGGGGCTGGGAGGTAGCTCTCAGAATGTCTATGAGGGTAGATCCTCTCAGGGGACTTCTGTAGGGGAAGAAATAGGGAATCTCGTGTAAGGTATGGGGTAAGATTCAGTCTCAGTGTATCAGCCAGTTTTGGGAATTATTCTGTTCTTGTCTATGACCCCAAATAATGTCCATGTGAGTGATAGACATGCCCACCCAGTTTCTGTGTCAGGCCCTGGGGATGGGTTTATCAGTGTGAAAGTTACGACTGTTGAGACTAGAACAGACATTTCAATTGCTATGGCATCATTTGGAAGTTCGGAGGGTTGATAAGTGTGGGATAGTTCCCTTGCGTGAGAGATCAGATCTCTATTTTAGGGTGTTAGAATTGCTTTAGAGCAGGTGCTGGGAAAAGACGGACATCCAGATAAACTTCATCCAGATAGACTTTTCTGATCCATGTTTTCCAGGCAGAAGAAAAGGTCTGTTTTAGAACAGACAGATTTCTTGAATCCTTACTTCATAGCTTTTCAGTGGGCTGATATTAGTCTAATTTTAAGTGCTGTATATTATATAGCCTGGCAGATTTGCTTTCTTTCTATGTTGCCCTTTGAATGAAGCCTTTTGTACTTGCATGATCAAACCTTGTGACCAGATAAGGTTCCATGTACTTAATAGTGAAGAGATACAAAGATAATCTTGAGAGGTATTTATATTTTTAATAAAATAGAAACTATGCAAAGTAACATTGATTTAGAGGCACTGTATTGCTGACTAGAGATTTCCCAGGTAGAAGAGCATAGATTGCATTTCCCATCCAGATTTTTAGGTGTGCCTTCTTTCATTTGACAAGAAGATACTATTTCCAGTGTCCCTGGGAGAATTTGTCCAACTTATGTGGTGAACTGCTAACTTATCAGGGTGCCCTAAAGAGAGAGAAAAACTCATTTCTGTCTATGCCTTTTATCAGCTAGATCAGCTAATTACCTTTAAATTAGAAATCAATCACTAGAGGAAGATACCGAGAGATGCATTTTTACCTAAGTCAATCCCTTCCCCTTCCTTATGTCCAGATCTAATACAGAGGCAAAAACATGTCATCAGAAATCCTTAGGGGCTTGATGGAAATCTGTGTTCCTTCCAGGCAGTGTAACTCCCTTGAAGTCTATGTCATGTTGAGAACTTTTCTTGATCGCACTGCATTGGAGCTATTCTTCACTTAAATTGTTTGGCCTAGTGGTCCTGGTAGAAAAAAGACATCTAGTACTGGATTTCTCTCTCTCTCTCTCCTCTTTTTTGCAGACTCTTGTAGACGGTTGTCCTCAGAAATCTGTGGTTTGGGAGTTAGTTATTTATGAGTGACCGAGGTTACAGTTTCAAGTAGCCTGATAAGTAGTCATTTCAGATTCTTAAAGCTCCTTGTCTCTGATTTCATCTTCATATTTTCCTCAAGAAAATTCTTTGGCTAGGTCAAAGAAAATACACAATAAGTGATATTTGCACTCACAAAAATAAGTTAGGAAATTTTGAGATCCCTTTAAACATTCCCTAACTCATGAAAGCTGTCATCTTTTGGTGTTTAAGCTGTGAAAATGTACCCATGTCTCTTTTGTTAAATAAACTCTCTGCTACAATACTACTGTTGAATTAATTGGCCATTATAGTAAGCTGATATGTTTCTTATTTCAGTAGGGTCTATTTTAAGAATGTGTTAAATTAAACATACTTATAAATCTAGATTATATTATTATGATAGAAGGAAAACAAGGACTTTAGTTGGCAAATACTTGGGAATACCAAGTGAGAACATTGTTAATGTAGTTCCAGCACCAGATAAATAGAATTATCTTCAGTGAAGTCTGTAAGCATTCTCCCAAACCTTATTTCAGAATTCCTTTTGTGTCCATATTTCTTACCTTCTGGCCAATTTCACATCAAAACTTTTTAATGTCACTACACATGTGAGCCAAAGATAGTGCATATATAGTCAAAGCATTTGGCTTTAAATGTCTATGGAACCAGATGGAAAAAATAGGGCAGGGATGCAGTATAGGTTAGTAGTTAAATGCATAGGCTCTGCAATAAATCGGAGTTTAAAGAAAGGAACCAAAAAAGATACTGCATTTTCTTTGTGGAATAAAAACCTTCTTGAGTTGTGCTGTTTTCCTAAGCCTATTGAAGTGATCTTGATCCAGTTTGTGTAACAGTATTACGGGTGGTCTTCCCTATAATTGAACTATTTTCCATCCACTATTCTTGAGAGCTTAAGGATTTGCTTACTCAAGGTCAGTTGGTGGCTGGTAAACATTGTTTGACTTTTTGCATCCTGTGAGACATCATAAATCTACTAAGGTGTAGAGTAGACTCAGGTCAAAATATTGAAAGTTATACGTTTATTTCTGAGTAGAATGCTGAGCTCACTCATATGAGAAAGAGCAGAGGTAAGGCCCAGCTTTGTAGTTCACTGGAAGCAAAAGGTTTTTTTTCCTTGCTGAATATAACTATGCTCTCATATGGGCTTAAAGGACCTAAATAGATTCAGTAGTTGAGCAGTGGGATTTGATGTTTGTTTTCACTGTTGACCAGTAACAGCATTTTGGAAATTGAGTTTCCCAAGTGAGCTTTGTTTATAAACTTTGAACATGTCAAAAATGGATAGTTTAGTAAATCTTTTCTACCAACATCACTTTTCTTTTCTTACTCCTTTTTTTCTGTTATTGCCTGCAGCAGTTAGTTACAGTCACTCATGCTAAGTAGAATTTGAATAAAGCTAATGTTAGCAAAAATAGACTGTTTGACCTCTCCCCCCACTGCTTACTGAAGTGTGGCATGATTTTGTGTTTTGAACCAGTAGGTTTCAGCTGTGAAATGCACTCACTGTAAGCACTGAGCTGAGTGCATGGAAACTGTTACGCTTCTCATTTTATGTGATCTCCTAATTGGTATGTAGCAAAAAAATAATTTTCGAAACCTGTTTTGTTGCTTGTTTTGTAATAAAACCATGTGAAATACTGAAATATGGTGTGTGTTTTCCTAATGCTGACCTTCTGCCCGTGGGTGGGTGATCTCTCGTCAGTCTGCCCCATTATTGGTTTTCTGGCCTTCCCGAGGTAGGGCCCTGCACAGGGCAGGGCTGGGGACCTCTCTTGGTTGCATGGGGCTGGCCCTGGGACGGGGACGGGGACGGGTGGTGGGGGATGCGTGTGTGTGTGTATGTGTGTGTAGAGGTCCACCAGGCTCTGCCGTGCGTGTGCGTGTGTGTGTGTGTGTGTGTAGAGGTCTGTCAGGCTCTGCCCCTTAAAGCCCGGGGGTTGAGGGAGGCGGCACCCTAGCCGGGAAGAAGTGTTGCTCATTTTAGAGCAGTTGCCGGTCCAAAGTAAACCGGAGCGTGAAGAAGGAAGAGGGCAGGATGACTAGACCTCTGCGGCGGCCCGCTCTGCTGGGACAGCTCCTCCTGCTGTGGCTGCTGCTCCCGCCGCCTGTGCTCAGAGCCGAGGCTAGGAGGTCCAGGACCTTGCTGCCCTGTCCCGCGGCTTGTGAGCCCACGCGCTGCCCCCCGCTGCCCACCTGCTCGGCGGGGTCGACGCCGGTGCTCGATCGCTGCCGCTGCTACCGCGGCGGCCGAGGGCGAGACCTGCAGCTGGGCGCTGGGCCGGCG